TATGGAAAAGTCTACGATCCCAGAATTAGGAGCCAGATTTTATTGTGTGTAGTGCAGATTATATTAATGAATTTTTTAGTCCACAAATTAAATGAATTTGAACAATTAATTATTATTTTTAAATATATTGAATACCTGATAGATTTCGTAAATTTAGGACGATTTTTGAATTTTCAACATATTTTTGTCTTATTAGGACATTTGGATGGCTCAAATCTGTTCAAATTATAAAATAATGGTTGAGATATATTTTCCAAAAAATGTTATACATATATATTTTCTACTTTTTTGCTTTTTTCTCTCTTACTTTTTTTCTTTTTTCACACCCCTCATTGTATGATCCTATGATCCCGCCTTCTTCTGTCTTTTCTTTTCATTTTTTTATTTTCTTCTGTTTTTATTTTTCTCTTTATTTGTTTATTTTTTTTTATTTTCTCCTTTTTATTTAATATATTTTACACATATTTCCATACAAGGTATGTATGCCCGTAATACACTAGGATATTACCGGCATACATACAATTTCCATATAATTTTATAAGCAAAAGCAGTATTGTATGTATGCCCGTGAAAATTGTATGTATGCTAAGCACATCTATCTATCTAGCTATTCATTATATAAGCAAAAACGATTCTTTGTGAGGAGTTTTTTGTGAGAACTCCAAAATTTTATAGTAAATTTGTGATTTTATCAAGTTAAAAAATAAATTTAAATAGTGTTGAGATTATAATTATATTCTAATCTTAATATTATTGACACCGTGTCTTCAGGCATGGACATACATTAATATATATATATATATATATATATTTTTTAAAGGGAAAATTACACTAATAGTCCCTATAGTTTGGGACTCGTGTCACTTTAGTTCCCGACTTTTCAATTGTAACATATTTGACCCTGGATTTTGAATCTTTTTTCAAATAAGAACAATTGAACATACCATTGCTTAATTTCAAGGGCAAAATTGTCAATTTGATAAAATATAAACTAATTTGACAAAAATAAATGTCGAAAAAATATTTAAAATTTTTTAAAAATTATTTCTACCTAGCAAAGATAAAATTGTGTAAAATTGATAAAAATTAATAAAAATTACATCATTAATTTTTAAAAATTAATTTTACATGGTCATCATCCAAATACATAATAAAAATTAATTTGGTAAAAAAAAAAGTCTAAAAGATTTATCAGTTTTATTTAATTTTATCTTTAGTAGATAGAAATAATTTTAAAAAATTCAAAAATAATGTTTTGACATTTATTTTTGTCAAATTAATTTATATTTTATCAAATTAACGAATTTGTCCTTAAAATATCAAATAGTATCTTCAATTATCCTTATTTAGAACAAGATTCAAAATTTAAGGTCAAATATATTGTAATTAAAAAATCAAAAATCAAAATGACATAAACTCTAAATTATAGGAACTGTTAATATAATTTGACTCATTTTAAACCTCGAAAATGCATCAGACAAGATGACCCTCAGAACCTCCAATGAAATCTAATTAGTCAAAAATATATACTCCCTCCGTCCCATAATATTAGTCCCTTATTCCATTTTTCATTGTCCCAAAATATTAGTCCCTCTTCAAAAATCAAGTACAAAAATAATATAAATTTTCCATTTTGCCCTTCTTTTAAATTCATAAATAATATAAAAAGTACAATTATGACATTGATATTCTCAAAAAAGTGTACTATCAAAGGGTAATTTTGGAAAACCAACTTTTTAAAAGTACAATAATTGTACTACCAAAAAAAATTAAATTCCCCAAAAGGGACCATTATTTTGGGACGGAAGGAGTATATATATTTTTTTCTAAAACTTGAGAACATAGCACGTGGTGCTGGGGCCACCCCACTGGGCTCCCAGCACGGTTGTTTAAACCTTATCAGTCCCTACTTTATTTTCTTTTCTTTCTTCCCTTGGTTTCCGTGGCCTCTGCCTCTCTGCCTCCTCCCTTCCCCATTTATTCCTTCTTCTGTTTTTTGTTTTTTTGAACGGATTTATTCCTTCTTCTTGAATTGCGAATTCCACGCCATCACCTACAAAAACAAATAAAATATAATAATATAATATTATAATAAAACAATATCGATATATATAAAAGTGGAGGGTGTCGGGCAGTCGATGGCTGCCGACATCGATTACATTTTTTTTTAAATATTCAAAATATATTCTACATGTACATTTTCTATTTTATATATAATTGAGAGAGAGAGGTGTGGGAGGCGTGCTCTCTCTTCTCTTTTTTTTCAATTTTATTTATTTTATAATATATAAAATATTAAAAAATATGATTTATACTAATTTATATACCAGGGGTGCTAGGGACCCTCAAAACAATTTTTTTTTGTTTTTTTTTTCTTTCAATCACGCGGTGCCATGTGACACGGGATCACTGGGAATGGGGCTCTTAAGATTTATATACAAACATCTAAAATATATATAAATACACAAAATTATAAATTAATACACATTAATAAACTAATAAAATGCATATTTAGAGATCAAATATGTACATTTAGGCACCAATCAAGTCACTTAATTTTTTAAAACAATTAAACTATAGAAAATAAAATATTAATACAAATATTTCTTTTAAAGAGTTATTGTTTGCTTGATGGAGAGATGGCACTGAATCAATCAGACACTGTCGTGCTCCTGACCATAGAATTTTTTATTTTTTTTTGAATAATTTGAATTATTGATTTTATAGGGGATTTGTGAGTCAAAATCTAGTTGTTTCTTGTCACAAATTAGGTTTTTTTTTTTTTTTTAAATTTATTATTTTTATTTTTAAGTAAACATAATATTCAAGTAAGAGATTTTAAGGTAGTGTTTGATTCATTGAAATGAAATAAAATAAAATGATTATTCTATCAAAATGTTCATTTTCATGTTTAGTTAGACTAAAACAATAATGACATATGTATTAAGAAAAAATTATTTTTCACTATTTTAAAATAATAATCATTCTATTAAAAAATTAAGTAATTACCCTTTCATTCCATTCTATTTCATTTTATTTTAAAATAGAAGGAAAAGTTATATAATTAGAGTAACACAGAGTGTTTTGAAAAGTTGGTAAAAAGTTGACTTTTTGAGTTTTTTGTGACTTTTTTGACAAAAAGTTGAATTCTTTTGAGTAAAAAAAATTGACTTTTTTAACTAAAAAAATTAAAAAATTAAAAAACTGACTTTTTTAATTTGTTGCCAAAAGCTCCTATAACCAAAAGTTAACAAGTGGGATCGAGGGGATGGTTTAAAGAACTAACGCTAAAATAAGGAATCAGGATTCTCGGTCGCCCTTTCCTGCGGTCCTTCCTGCCGCCCTCTCTAAAACGACGTCGTTTTGTTTTTTTTTTTTTGTCCTTCCCGAAATTTGATTCCTTCACTTTCATCTTCCTCTATCAGCAGCTCATATGTTATGTTCATCTTCCTCTATCAGCAGCTCACTTTCATCTTCCTCTTTCACTTTGATCCCGACATACCCACACATTCAACTGATCAAAGATTCAAATAACCTCACCTACAATAGTGATGCTCCAAATCCAAAATGTTAAATGACTTTTTCAACTGTCAAGTATTCAACAAAAAGAAAAAAAATTTACAGGTTAAATTTACTAAAAATTTCGTCCAGAATATCCTCAAAGAAAAAAATTAGTTAATTGTTCAAGCCCCTCTCTTCGTCTGTCGCCGCCTCAGTCGCCTCACCGCTGCCTCTCCTCGCCTCGCCTTACCTCCGTAGCCTCTCCGTTCGTCGCCTTCGCTGCCCTTGCCTCGCCTTGCTTCTGCCTCCGTCGCCTCCATTCGTCGACTCTCTCTCTCTCCCTCTCTCTCTTTCTCTCTCTCTCTCTCGTCGCCTCTTCTGTCTCAGAGGCTAGGGTTCAAAATAAGAAAAGGGAAAAGCAGAGGGGAAAGCAAATAAGAAAAAAAATAAAATAAAAAAATACTCCAAAACGACGTCAGTTTGGAAGGCGATAGGGCGGGCGGCAGGATACTGCGGCCGAGGATCCGAACTCTTAAAATAAGGAGAAATTACATTTCAAGTTCTTGTGTCAGAATGGACAATGCTTATGTTGTGAGGTCCTAGAGAGGTGTGCGTAGAACTTTTATTATTAATATTTTTTTATTTTTTTATAATTTAAACCGTTTATATTATAATATTCGAATATATTATTGTGTATCTAGAATTTTTTTCAATGATTTAGACTATTCATATTATAAGATTTATTGAACATATTATTCATAAAAAAGTTCTAGTTAATCGGACATATGTGACTTTATGATCTGCCCTAATAGTTTTTATAAAAATTATCAAATCGTTTGTTATTTCTTTTAAACAAATGTGGTTTGTTATAGGGTTATAGATGTCTAATTGATACGATTTTTTTAATATATGATTAGTTGACTAATCTTATAATATGAACGATTCAGATCATGAAAATACGCTCATGACATGCCCCAACAGATCCATAAGGCACAACACCTACCCCAATTCCCACAAAATAATACAGATTTATATAAATAAAAAAAAAGGTTTAAGACTTTAGTTGTTAATATTTGTGAAGTTTACTACTTATTTTTTGTTTTTTTGTTTTTTTTTAAATATATTGAATCATATGTCAAATAACATTTCAACACTTAATTTTGGATAAATTACAGTTTTTATATTTTACCCTTCATGTATAAAGGTTTTTTTTAGTCTACTCCCAAAACTCATTTCGGTTTAAAATTAAACAGAAAATACCACATGAACAACCACTCAAAATGAAAAAAAAAATAAAAATTTAAGTACCAAAATAAAAAAATAGCTAAACATAAAAGGGACAGACTGTAATTTAGCCTTTAATTTTTGAAACTTTATTTTTAACTTTGGATTTTTGTTTTTGTTTTTGTTTTTTTTTTTTGGGTTTTTGTTTTGTTTTTTTAATATAACAATAGTTTAGTCAACTACAGAAATTAAAAAGAAAGCTACATGTACCCACTTTAGTAGAAAGAAATCAGGTCAGCCAATACCCACCATCCATTATCACCAATCACAAATCACAACGTTCTCAAACAACTTAGCAAGAAAAGAAAGAAAGAAAGAAAGAAAGAAATGGTGATGGTGTCTGTGATGAAGCTTATGGACAGGGTTCTGATAGTGTTCTCTATTGCGTTTGGAGTGGCTGCACCCTTTGACGCAGGACTATTGTTCCTCACCCCAAATCTAGACCCCAACAACAACAATAACTTGCTGGTTCATCACCTCAAGCCTTTGTACGAATTCAAGTACGGGGATTACTTGGTCACAAACAAGCCAGCTTTCTTTGTGGCCCTGGTGTGGCTCGAAGTAGTGTTCCTCTGGCCTTTACAGCTTCTCAATCTCTATGGCATTCTCTCTCCCCATGCTTCTTGGCTCCCTCTCACCTTCTTGCTCTTTGGTGCCTCCTATTGCACAACCATGGTATTTTTCTCTCTTTTTTTTCCCAATTTTTTTTTTTAAATTTTTTTTTGAGTAAATTACGGGCTTGTTTAGTTTGTTTCTCATATTTTTGTTGAAAAAATAAAAATTAATTTGACAAAAATAAATATCAAAAAAATATTTTTAATTTTTTAAAATTATTTCTGACCTCGTAAATTATATAAAAATAATAAGTGTTTTCATTTTTTAATTCTTTCACCAAATTAATTTTTAATTTTTAGAAAAAAAATTGAAACAAGTTTGTGAAAATCAAACCAAATATGACCGCATTTTTGGCTTTTGAATTTTTATTTGAATTCTGTTAAAAATAAAATAAAATAAAATAATTTGAATTCTTTAGTCCGTTAATTTGTAATTGTAACAACTGAGTTCTCCTATATCAACGCTCTTTTGGTTTGGTGATATGTTTGTATTATGAATTTGGGTAGAAATAGGAAAAAATAAATAAAAAATGTGAGGATAATATGAATGAAATATATTCAAATTGTGTTTGGATCATAAATTTGAAATAGAGATTTGAACACACAAAAAAAAAAATGTCAATAAAATATACACTTTTTTTTTTCCTTCAAATTTTCCTTTTTCTTTTAAATTCCTATTGAAATCTATAATTCAAATAGAATGTAACTGAAGTTAAAGGTGGTCATTAGTATACATACACCCCCTCCAAAGGGTGTGTATCATATACTGGATGTAACATTTTTTATATTAATTATCATAAATGTTATAACTAAATTCTTTTTAATTCTTAGCCAAAAAAAAAAGAAAAAAAAAGTTTTATTAGTTAAAACCGAACACTATATAAGGTATAACTAAAAACTTTTTCGACCAAAATAATAATTACAATAAGTTATAATTAATATCACAATGAGTCATAAATAAGTCAAAATTAATATCAAAATAGGTCATAATTAAAGATTACAAATATCATAATTGCGGCATAGTGTGTATTGAATTTTTTTTTTAAAGTCAAAATATAGTAGTTAAAATGAAATTTAAAAAGTGAAATACATAAATTTGTTCTAATGTTTTAAAAATGTGTTCATATATCCCTAATGAACAATTTTGATCCAAATTTTTGGCTCAGTGATAAGAGAATCATGTTGAAACATATGTTAAAGGTACAGAACTCAATTATTGTAATTAGAAAATAAATATGAAAAATAAAGTGAAAGTTTGACAATAAAAAGTGTAATTTACCATTATTGTTTTTTTTTTTGAATAAATTATTGTAACAATTTAAATTTTTAATTATTCTATAAAATTTATATTAATATTATTTTATCATTGTTAGAAAAATATATGACTTACTTTGTATTATTATATGTAATTTTATAAAATAATATAATAATAAAGAATTAATGGATCAAAATATAAATAAATAATTAATTTTCTGTTAGTATATGATAGAGTGTAATTTAATTAAAAATTAATTAATTTACATAATTATATTAAAATATTGAATCAAAATATAATTATCTTAAATATCTATTAGGAATAAAAATGAAGCAACGAATTTATTATGGAATCTTTCACGTATGCGCCTTATCTTCCTTTTTAGCCTTATCTTCCTTTTTATAAAAAGAGAGGCGTGTCACCTGGACAAGATAAGAAAAGAAGGAAAGAAGAAAGAAAGGAGAGAAAGAAAGCAAGAGGAAAAGAAAGGATAGAAAGGAAGAAAAAATAATCAATGTGTTTGGTATGAATTTTTTGAATTAAGTTTTTTAAAAATTAAATTTTTTAGCTTTCGTATTTTTTTTATTTTTAGTGAATATTTTTAAAATTTTAAAATTTTAAACATTTTTTATATTTTTTTAGATGCAACTTACTTAGATGTATTTAAAAAGTAAAAAATTTGTGAAAAAATATTTTTAAAAATTAATAAATACATAAAAATATAAAAAAATGTACTGAATTTTCATATATTTTTTTTGTATTTTTGGTATTTAGTGAATTTTTAAAAAGTTTTTTTCAATTTTTTTTACTTTTTAGGTATATTTATGATAGGTTTGTCTAAAAATTAAAAAAATTGCTCAAAATATTAAAAAAATTCAGTAAAAACAAAAAAAACACGGAAAATAAAAAAGTAAAATTTTCTGAAAAGTATTTTTGAAAAATAATAACCAAGCATAGTGAATGGAAGTTGAGATGATTTTTGATAAGGAAAGAAAAAATAAGGTATTAAAGATAAGGTGATTATATTATATCTTGAGTTATCAAAATATATTTTACTTATGTTTTGACTTACCATATTTATTTTATACAAGTTATGTTTTATAAATTATTATAAACTATATTAATATTTCAGTTTCGTGGTTTAATTTCTGAACCCTATTTGTTTAAAAGGAAACCCATGGATATGTTTGTTTATATTTTAAAGAATATTTGACTACGACCTTATATACAATTATGTTTTGTAAGTACCACCACGGGAGTCCCATGCCTTGGGGGACTTAAATAACCACTGGCCTCTGTTTGACCACTTTGCGGTCTTCTGTTTGTCATGGATCTATTGACCTCTGTTCTGTGCGGAGATAAGTGCTACACTATTGTGAGAGCCACCTCTATAGTCCGTACGAGCCACCTCTTGAATCCGTACCTCTGTTCTAACTGTCACTCATGTGACATCTGTTCTGTTCCGTTCGGTACCATGGTTATGGTTATATATTTATTTTCATAATTTATGTATTTCAGTTCTGCTACATAAATAATTTGTTTACCAATGATGTATTTACCAAACTGAGTTATGTAAATGTTTTGGTCTAACTAACTATCCATAGTTATTTCGTGTCCCTTATACTTTTGGTATAATATTTCTCACTCTGCCGTGTGCTTATAGCTGTTTACCAATTTTCAGGAAACGGTGTAATTCAGAAATAGCTTTTGAAAAGTCTTAGATGCAGGGCTGCGGAATAGACACACATAACACTTTTATTGATATTTTTCTATTTAAATATAGGCCTTTTTGGTCAATATAATTTTATAATAAAAATAGAAGTTCCGATGATTATTTTGGTACTCTCACTTAAATATTACTTCCGCTCGCGTTTATTAATTTGTTTAAGAATTGGCCGGAGGTAACCTCAGTTACTGGCCATCACGATGCTTAACCTTTGGGTACGGGGAGTAGGTTGTGACAAGTGGTATCAGAGCAATGGTTTATAAAAAAAAAAAAATCATCATTGGAGCATAGGACACGCGCACATTTAAGAGGTAGGATAGCGGGTAACTAGTACCTAAATATTACATTCGTCGATTTAATTATATTATAATTTTATATGATTTTATATATATATTAAATTTTTTTTTTTTGCGCAAAATTGTGAAGGATATTAGATATAATTTATATTTGTTATAGCAAAAGAGGAAAAAGAAACAGAGAATGTCGGGCTCAAACACCCACTAAAATTATAATATAATTAAATACATGGAATTTCCAGTTCAGTATTCAAAAAAAAAAAAATTTATTTCGACCTTTTAAAAAAGTGGGTTCAAATTTTAAAAATACTAATATTGAAACTATTTCCCATTAATGAAAAGTTCACCTCAAATTTTTTTCCACTCTTATATATGATTCTATCATTGTGTTCTCATTTTATTTTTTTTATTTATTTTTGTCGTAAACAAAACAAATGAAAAGTTTTTACAGTCACCCATTATTTCTCATTCTGGACCAAACCAATTTTTGACAACTGGACAGTGAGTTATTTTTGGTAAAATTTTTTTTAAGGTAATATTTTCTCTCAGATTAATCATCTAATATATATTTATCAGAGTGCGCAGCGGATAACTTACACATGTAACAAATTTCGAGGACGAAATTTTAGAAGGAGGGAAGATTGTAACAACCCAAATTTTTAATTATTCTATAAAATTTATATTAATATTATTTAATCACTGTTGGAAAAATATATGACTTACGAAAAATATATGACTTACTTGGTATTATTATACGTAATTTTGTAAAATAATATAATAATCAAGAATTTATGGATCAAAATATAAATAAATAAATAATTTTTTGTTAGTATATAATAGAGTGTAATTTAATTAAAAATTAATTTATTTATATAATTATATTAAAATATTGAATTAAAATATAATGGTTTTAAATATTTATTAAGGATAAGAATAAATCTATAAATTTATTATCGAATCTGTCATGTATGTGCCTTATCTCCCCATAAAAAAGAAGGCGTGTCACCCGGAGAAGAAAAGAAAGAAGAAAGGCGTGTCACTTGGAGAAGAAAAGAAAAGAAGAAAGAAAGAAAGAAAGGAGAGAAGGAAAGAAAAGAAAGGAAGAAAAAATAATGGAAGTTGAGATGGTTTTTTATAGTAAAAAGAAAAAATAAAGTATTAAAGATAAGGTGAGTTATATTATATTTTGAGTTATCAAAATATATTTTATGTATATTTTGACTTATTATATTTATTTTATATAAGTTATGTTTTATAAATTATTATAAACTATATTAATATTTCAGTTACGTGGTTTAATTTCTGAACCCTATTTGTTTAAAAGGAAACCCATGAATATGTTTGTTTATATTTTAAATAATATTTGACTATGACCTTATGTACAATTATGTTTTGTAAGTACCACCACGGGAGTCCCATGCCTTGGGGACTTAAATAACTATTGGTCTCTATTTGACCACTTTGTGTTCTTCTGTTTGTCATAGATCCATTGACCTCTGTTCTGTACGGAGCAAAGTGCTGTGTGGAGATAAGTGCTACACTATTGTAGGAGCCACCTCTATAGTCCGTACGAGCCACCTCTTGAATCCGTACCTCTGTTCTGCGCGGAGCAAAGTGCCGTGCGGAGATAAGTGTTACACTATTATGGGAGCCACCTCTATAGTCCGTACCAACCACCTTTTGAATCCGTACCTCTGTTCTGACTGTCACTTATGTGACCTCTGTTCTGTTCCTTTCGGTACCGTGGTTATGGTTATATATTTATTTTCATAATTTATGTATTTCAGTTCTGTTACTTAAATGATTTGTTTACCAATGATGTATTTACCAAACTGAATTATGTAAATATTTTGGCCTAACTAACTATCCATAGTTATTTCGTGTCCCTTATACTTTTGGTATAATACTTCTCACTCTGCCGTGTGCTTATAACTGTTTACCAATTTTCAGGAAACGGTGCAATTAAGAAATAGCTTTTGAATAGTCTTAGATGCCTGACTGCGGAATAGACATATACTGCACTTTTATTGATATTTTTCTATGTAAATATAGGTCTTTTTGGTCAATATAATTTTATAATAAAAATAGAAGCTCTGATGATTATTTTGGTACCCTCACTTAAATATTACTTCTGCTCGCGTTTATTAATTTGTTTAAGAATTGACCAGTGGTAACCTCAGTTACTGGCCATCACGATACTTAACCCTTGGGTACGGGAGCAGGTCGTGACAATTATAAATACATTATCTGAAGTTTAATAAAAATATGGATTATCCTTATGATTTTGAAAATTATAAATATCTCATTGTTAAAAGTTTTTATTTAACAAAATTAATACAAAAAATTAAATTCTTAACTACTTTCCAATATAACAATAAAATTATCTGAATTATTAATTGATATATATTTATGACATCATTAATATAGTTAGTTGACTTAGGTTTCGTTTGGGAAGCGAGTTAACTTTTTGACTTTTTGGCTATTTTAGCTTGAGGTCAAAAAACTTCCTTTATGTTGGGCTTTTTGACTTTTTTGACTTTTGTGAGAGAAAAAATAGAATGATTGTGGTTTCAAAGTGACATTTTATTTTATTAACTTTTAACTTATTTTGTCTTTTTATGACTATTTTAGATAGTTCCATGTCAAACGAGCTCTTAATAATTTATTAATAGAACTGATTAGGACTATATTTTATGACCTTTAACCATTAATATAGTGCGACCTTTAACCACTATTGTAGTAGTGAAAATTTAAAACTTAAAAGGACATGATGTAATTTTTAGAACTATAAGAGGTAATTTATGTTTTAAGCAAACGTGAAGAGGTGTGCATGTAATTTATTTATTTGTTTATTTTGTGTCTCTTCTTTTTCTAAAGACCATGTTGTGCTTAGCCTAGAACAATATTTTGAAAATTGAATCGGTGAGTAAACCGGAAAAGAAACCAGGTGGACAGGTCACTAGTTCAATCATCGGGTCAAAGCGGTTGAATTGTGACATCATAATTGATATTATATAATTATAAATCATAAATAAATAAAAATATATATAATTACTGAAATAAAAAAAGTGTTGAATAATATTTATTAATAATATTTAATAAAGTCATAATTGATAAAAAAAAAAAAGTCATTAGTTTTAAAGAAATTAAAAAAAAAATTAACATTCCCTTCAAACTAATTGATTGAACACTAGATTTAATTTTGGAGGGGAATGAAATTTTCAACTTTCCCTCCAATCAAATATAATTCAAACAATTTGATTAAATCTAACATTGATTTTTTAGGTTCTCTTTGAATAATTTTGTCCTATATATAGGAATAGACTTTCATAATTTCTTTAAGCTTCCAATGAGACTTCTCCTTATAAGAGGAGACTTTTGAAGTAAGAATTTTCAGTCAAAATTTTAATATATATATACAAAAGAAAGAAAGAAAGAAAAGAAGGGAAAAAAAACATGAAAAAAAAAATCACCAGGTTGGTCGAGAACGGGCATCAGTTTTGCCAATTTTACTAGTTGAATGACCAATTTTTTTGATATTTGCAAACAAGGGCGGTTTTTGACCTAGTCCGATTTTCGTGGATCTTCTGAATCAGAATTAGGTCCGATTACCGATTCTACCGGTTGAACCGGCCGATATGATCCAATTCTTAAAAACATTGGTCCAGAATGGAAATTTAAAAATCACGAACTTAAAAAAGATACTTTACTATTGACAAAGACTAGTCAGTTTACAAAGAGATCTGTTGACTCCACAATGTACGAGACTCAGTTACAATTTTATCTAGATAGGTAGCATCTTCTCAAGTCTGATTTTAACAATTAAGCTTGTGTTTGAAAAGAAAAAGCAAACTCAAATTAATATGCATATTAAAAACAAAAATGAATAAAATAGGAGTAAGATATATAAGAATATTAACAATAACTTCTAGTAGAAATTATATAAGAATTTCAAGGTTTGTCCCATATAACAAAATAAATTTTTAATTTTTAATTTTATCAATTTAATTATTAATATTTTGGTTTGTCTTCAATTTAAATCAAGTTTGAATTGTTCGTGAACAAGTCAGGTTGTTTGCACCTCTAATCTCATCACAGTTATAATGTTTACTTTTCTTTTTCTTTTTTTTTGAAAAATGCAATATATAATACTATCAAATTTTCTTACTATTAGACTGGTTTGGAAACAGATTATTTTAATAACTTCTTAAATTTTTACAAAAAAATATGTAGAAAAATAAAAAAAAGTGATATAACAATTTATAGTAATTTTTTGACTTTTTAATTAAAATTGAAGGTTGCAAAGCAATGAGTCTTGCCAGTAGTTATTGATATAAACCCTCCTTTGTGTCGAGTAGTAAAAAAATCGTGTAAAAAACCTGTTTGTTTTTTGTGTGTTTCGAATAGTGAAATTGGATAAAATGGATATAATTTTGAATGTTTGGTATTTGATAGTTTTGGTTCCAACCATAGTGTTCAGGCCTTGTAATGAACATTAGAGAAGCAATCCAACTCTTATTATTAGATCACCCAAATCTGAAACCAAATCTAAAAAAATGTATTTTCATGCTCTAATTAACAGTGTTAGGTTAGAGATACTCTAATTAAGTTGACTCCCTGCCGACTATGCTTTTCTTCTTCTTCATTTTCCTGGGTGGTTGAACACTGTTCATCAGTTTTCTTTCGTCATGCCTTGTGTATTATTTTTCTTGCCAAGCAAAAATAAATAAATATATAAACAAATAAAATAAATGTAGAGTGCTTCTTGCTAATTATAGTTACTATGGATGTTTCAGTATGCAGTATTAGCAGAAGTGATGTCGCATACAGTGTCGGACACGCTTATAATGCTCTATCTTCTCTTCATTGGTTGCGGTGTTTTATCCATTCTGCGTGGCCTGCTAACATACTACTCTTCTGCTGCTGGTAAGACTACAAAAATCAACACGAGACATGAATCAAGTGGAAGCGGTAAAAAGAGGGCTTGAAGAATTCCATAAAAACTTTGATCATCGGTGATGATTTCTACTAGGTATACAACATATATTGAATTAAGTTGAGAAACTAGCATTATATGCATTGAAAAATATAGTCTATTTTCTACTGATAGCCGGCTGCTATATATCATTGAATGAATATCACGGATTTTTTCTTCTTCTTCTTCACTATTTGCTTGAATACACGCCATAAACGTCATGTGTAGATGTAAAATTTCTATTATTTTTACACGATATTTGTGATTTTAGTTTGGAGTTGAAAAAATAGTGATGTTTATCTGGTGGCAACTATGAAGCACGGATACTTCAAAAAGGGAGACGTATCCGTATCGGATATTTATCGGATACCGATACTCCTTGGATACTCGCGGATACGTATCGAATACTTCTTAATTAATTTTTTATTAATTTTGAAATATCGGATACTTAATTTTGAAGTGTCGGATACTCGAAGTTACATATTACTTATAATATTTTGTTTAGTTCTTTAATAAGAGGAATATAGTAAGAGTTAAAGTAATAGAATTTGTCAACTTGATGTATCCTTATTGTCTCTCTCACTTCTCTCTCGCTTTCTCACTCTCTCACGTTTCTTGTCTTTGCTCTCATTCTTTTTTTGGTGTTGGCATGTAAGGATGATGTTTAATTTGTATTTGCTTTTGTTTTTAGTTTTGGATGTTTTATGAATGTTTGAAGACTTTTAGGTTAATAGGAATCTCTCTCTTTATTTATTAATTTACTTTAAGTTTTATTTTCATGCATATTACATTATTAAAATTATAAAAATATATATTTTTTTACGAACGTATTCCCGCCGTACCTGTATCATACTTTTTTAAATTTTGACGTATCGCTATATCCATATCGCCATATCCGTATCCATGCTTCCTAGGTTATCATTGATGACTTAAAAAAGTATATTTGCAGAAATTTTTATTTAATAATGGCTTTTTGGCTTTAGCTAAGGTCCTGTGATATTCACTAAAGAAGGGGAACAAGCACTACTACAAAAACAGATAAAGATCACACTTTTTTTGTGTGATGTTTGTTATTTAATCACACATTTTAAGTTTTATTAAAGTGTGATCTTTGGGAGTGTGATTAAAAAGGGTCATTTTTAATCACACCTTTTAAGTGTGATTAAAAACATTTAGATCACACATTTTAAGTGTGATTAATAATATTTAGATCACACCTTTTAAGTGTGATTAAAAATTAATAAAACCTGTGATAATAAACTTTAGATCACACCTTTTAAGTGTGATTAATAACATTTAGATCACACCTTTTAAGTGTGATTAAAAACTAATAAATCCTGTGATAATAAACTTTAGATCACACATTTAAAGTGTGATTAATAACATTTAGATCACACATTTTAAGTGTGATTAAAAACATTTAAATCACATTTTTTAAGTGTGATTAAAAACTAATAAAACCTGTGATAATAAACTTTAGATCACATCTTTTAAGTGTGATTAATAACATTTAGATCACATCTTTTAAGTGTGATTAATTACTAAAAAGATTCCACATATTTGAAGAATAATCAATATTATTTTTGTACGCGCATTTCAAGAATATAATACACACTATATATTATACTTTAAATCATAACCACATATTCAATGAAATAACGTCATATATTTCATAAATGAAAGTTAAATATGTTCAAAAGTATATACAAAGAAATTAAATAAAAAATTTTAAACTGTGCTTACATATATTAAAAAAAAAAAAAACTTGAAAAATTAAGTCATTGAATTCTTTGACCATATTTTGCATCTCTCCAAGAAATTTCTAACCTGAAAAATAAAAACACAAATTAATTCAGACACCACTAGAAACATATGAATAAACTAATTATTTGTAGAGATTGTTCTAGCCTTACAAAAGATAAAGTCCGACTAATCACATTTGTGTGGATTTTGGGTGGATTTCTGTGCTGTCACATTTGTGTGCATTTAAATTTTCAAGTAGTTCTAACTTATTTTTATTAGCTTGATTTGAAGATCACCTTAAATTCAACATACAAATGTAGTAGATGGGCTAAATTTCATATGGTTTATCAATAACGCAATGTACAAACTACTAAGCATTATAGTGAGAACAAGGTTGATACCATCTTTAGAGCTGTCAGGTAACTCCTTGCAAGATTGCTTCCCCAAACGACATTTCTGCAAAAATGAGACACCAAATACTATGCCTGTGAATACATTAAAGATTGTTATCTATAGAGTCAGCAAATGAGCAAAGCTAGTTACAAATCAACAGAATGAAACTGAAAAAGAATGGTTCAAATTGGTATTCAAATGTTCAACCCCTTCCAGCACGAAATCTCAAGGAGTCTTTTCTTTTTCTCATATTTTCCTTTGTGCTTGTGAATAGGTAGGGTCATGGGAAAGAGGTTTGACAATTGAGCATGTCAAACAAACAAAACTAGAGAACAATATCAAATTATATGCATACAAAAAAATTGGAAACAACAAAAGATGTGATTTCAAGTGATAAAGGGCAAGACCTTTTACCCCCATTGTTCTCATAATTGTCTTAGGTGTTGCTTCTGCAATTCACATTAAAATAAAATTCAAAATTAGCTCACTACACCAATATATAATTTCGGAAAGAATTAATCATGGGAGATGTAACCTTGCAGTGTACAATAGTCAGCCATAGTAAAATGATCTGTTAAACAAGGCATAAATATGTTGCAGGATCCAAAAACAAAATGTACTTGGGTTTGATCCCAACAATACAGGGGTTGGCTGGAAAGTGATAGCATCAGTTCAACCAAACGTTTAAAAGAAAATCTGTTAACAGAAGGCTTGGAAGCGCAATAAATCACTTTCTTTAAAACAATATTTGCTCCCACTCAATCAAAGTTTACTAATAGGTTCACTTTCTATCAGAGTTTACCAAGTCCAGGCCTCATCCATCAGGCCAAACCCTTGGCGTTAACAGACACCTTTAATTAACAATTACGTGTTAATCAGACATGCCTATTATAATTTACATTTAAAATTTAAAACGAAAAGTCAAGTGTTTCACACACACTGAGTAATCTGTGTACCACCATGCCAGGTTAAGGATTAAGGCATGAGGGTCAAAATTAGCTTTAATTTATTAATAGAGTGCTGTGTTGACAACACCTGCTCCAGAACCATCAACTTTGAGAATGCACATCTCTTAATCTACTTACTCAGAGATCATGAAATTTGGTCAAAGTATTCCTTATTAAGTCTATTTTCAAATGCCGCTAGTCGCAACAAGTCAGATTGTGTGTAAATGGAGTTATGATCTAAACAATGCATGGAACTCATTTTTGACAAAAAGACAGAACAAATGGGTGAACTGCAAAAATCATTATCTCTTAGACATACTAGAATAAGAAATTGTATACTGTCATAGACATACAAGAATAAGAAAGAGTAAAAAGGTACCTTTATCCTCAGCATCTCCATTCCATTTACCAGAAGTAAAGTTCCACTCCCCAGCCAAGTTTTCATCTTTCTTCCAGTCAGATTTAACCCACCGATTCTCCCAGCCACCATCTTAAAAGAGTAAAACAACAAAAACACATAATAAGGATGAATGTGAACCCAGAAAGTCCCAGATGCTTTTATTAAAAAAAAAACAAAACTGCTTATTAAGCAATTCACTTCCTAAAACAATGGACAAAAAAAAGTCAAAAGCACAACTATATATATCTTTGTTTCTAACTTCTCTTCACCAACAGCATCTTGTTGATGTTAAATGTAAGCGCAATAGAGGTAATGCATTCATACGTAATGTGTATTGGGGGATTTATATATAGGGAACACATACAAAATGTTTAAGCTACACAGTCATTGATTTTTTACTAATTAAAATTGCAAATTAAAGCTTGTGCATAGGTAATTTACTCTTCTTTCATTTGAAACAATCAATATTCACAAAATCAAACTACAGGAAGCAAATACAAATCCAAAAAACAATACAGATAAGGCAACACAAATCAATTCCTCAACAGATCCACTAAACAGTCCTAGTTCCAAATGAATTCTGAAGTAAAAAAACAAACTAAAGCACTAGACATCAAGTTTTTTGGGAGAAACAACATCAGAGAATTTGGAGCTAATTTCTCGTACAAATGCCAATCACCAACCAAAGCTAAACCAAAACCAAATAAGATAAAACCAAAGAATTTGGTGAGTTCGTCATTTTAATCCATTATATCTACTTCCATGTCATTGAACTTGGTTTCTAAATTTGATCACTTCTCTAAGGCTTACTATAAGGCTTAGTTGAGGTAGAGCTTTTTCAGTAATTGTTCACTTTGGTTGTTATGCTTCTAGAAGGTATTTAAGGATTTGGAAGCTGGAGTTATTTATGCTCTGATTTTTTAATAATTATCACTAAATAAGATATATCATATGATGATTCATATAAATAGTAATATAAAAAGATAATGAAAAATTAATAACATATAACATTGCTACAAAAAAAAAAAAAAACAAATAAAATACTTTGATGTTTTTTCAAAAAATAGCATACTTCACTGACAAAAAATAAAACAATGTCATCGTGTCCAATTTTTTGCCATACATTCTACATCGTAAACATGGCCATTCTCTTGATGTTAATCACTGAATTTCTATTGATCAACTAATGCAGAGGAAAACTAAAATTACCCAATCTCATAAATTACCTAAATTCATACATAGCTATAAATTATAAGCACTTGATTCATGTTATGAGTAGTGATCATGGCTGTGATCTTATGGGTACATAAATGACATCTTCCATGCAATTAATCCAATAGGTGACACCTTAGCCAGAGGAAGAAAGGATGGTCCAGATTTGAGAACTTCAGTTGAAAGCCATAGACTCCCTGGCACAGTTCTTTTACCATTTTGAATATTGATTGTCCATATGACCAAGGGACACTACCCATCTTGACTATGTCCTATCATGATGTTGCCACATGCCATCCAAAGGGAAATTCCAGCACATTAGTACCTCTCTTGCTCTCTTCTTGGCGTTAACAGACACCTTTAATTAACAATTACGTGTTGATCAGACATGCCTATTATAATTTACATTTAAAATTTAAAACGAAAAGTCAAGTGTTTCACACACACTGAGTAATCTGTGTACCACCATGCCAGGTTAAGGATTAAGGCATGAGGGTCAAAATTAGCTTTAATTTATTATTAGAGTGCTGTGTTGACAACACCTGCTCCAGAACCATCAACTTTGAGAATGCACATCTCTTAATCTACTTACTCAGAGATCATGAAATTTGGTCGAAGTGTTCCTTATTAAGTCTATTTTCAAATGCCGCTAGTCGCAACAAGTCAGATTGTGTGTAAATGGAGTTATGATCTAAACAATGCATGGAACTCATTTTTGACAAAAAGACAGAACAAATGGGTGAACTGCAAAAATCATTATCTCTTAGACATACTAGAATAAGAAATTGTATACTGTCATAGACATACAAGAATAAGAAAGAGTAAAAAGGTACCTTTATCCTCAGCATCTCCATTCCATTTACCAGAAGTAAAGTTCCACTTCCCAGCCAAGTTTTCATCTTTCTTCCAGTCAGATTTAACCCACCGATTCTCCCAGCCACCATCTTAAAAAAGTACAACAACAAAAACACATAATGAGGATGAATGTGAACCCAGAAAGTCCCAGATGCTTTTATTAAAAAAAAAAAACAAAACTGCTTATTAAGCAATTCACTTCCTAAAACAACGGACAACAAAAAGTCAAAAGCACAACTATATATATCTTTGTTTCTAACTTCTCTTCACCAATAGCATCTTGTTGATGTTAAATGTAAGCGCAATAGAGGTAATGCATTCATACGTAATGTGTATTGGGGGATTTATATATAGGGAACACATACAAAATGTTTAAGCTACACAGTTGTTGATTTTTTACTAATTAAAATTGCAAATTAAAGCTTGTGCATAGGTAATTTACTCTTCTTTCATTTGAAACAATCAATATTCACAAAATCAAACTACAGGAAGCAAACACAAATCCAAAAAACAATACAGATAAGGCAACACAAATCAATTCCTCAACAGATCCACTAAACAGTCATAGTTCTAGATGAATTCTGAAGTAAAAAAACAAACTAAAGCACTAGACATCAAGTTTTTTGGGAGAAACAACATCAGAGAATTTGGAGCTAATTTCTCGTACAAATGCCAATCACCAACCAAAGCTAAACCAAAACCAGATAAGATAAAACCAAAGAATTTGGTGAGTTCGTCATTTTAATCCATTATATCTACTACCATGTCATTGAACTTGGTTTCTAAATTTGATCACCTCTCTAAGGCTTACTATAAGGCTTAGTTGAGGTAGAGCTTTTTCAGTAATTGTTCACTTTGGTTGTTATGCTTCTAGAAGGTATTTAAGGATTTGGAAGCTGGAGTTATTTATGCTCTGATTTTTTAATAATTATCACTAAATAAGATATATCATATGATGATTCATATAAATAGTAATATAAAAAGATAATGAAAAATTAATAACATATAACATTGCTACAAAAAAAAAAAAAAACAAATAAAATACTTTGATGTTTTTTCAAAAAATAGCATACTTCACTGACAAAAAATAAAACAATGTCATCGTGTCCAATTTTTTGCCATACATTCTACATCGTAAACATGGCCATTCTCTTGATGTTAATCACTGAATTTCTATTGATCAACTAATGCAGAGGAAAACTAAAATTACCCAATCTCATAAATTACCTAAATTCGTACATAGCTATAAATTATAAGCACTTGATTCATGTTATGAGTAGTGATCATGGCTGTGATCTTATGGGTACATAAATGACATCTTCCATGCAATTAATCCAATAGGTGACACCTTAGCCAGAGGAAGAAAGGATGGTCCAGATTTGAGAACTTCAGTTGAAAGCCATAGACTCCCTGGCACAGTTCTTTTACCATTTTGAATATTGATTGTCCATATGACCAAGGGACACTACCCATCTTGACTATGTCCTATCATGATGTTGCCACATGCCAACGTTTCAATGTTCCGACGGTATCTCCGAGATCCAAAACATGTCATCGACTATGAGAACTTGGAAGTTTGAGAGGATCTCACCTACGAAGAACAACTAGTGCAAATTCTTGATCATCATAATCAAGTTCTCCGAAACAAGATACCGCTAGTAAAGGTCTAATGGCAAAATCATCGCATTGAAGAAGTTACGTGGGAAACCGAAGAACAAATGCGAGCCAAATACTCACACCTCTTCGAAAGTTAAGGTACGTTAAGTTTGGGGACAAACTTCTAATTAGAAGGGGAGAAATGTAACACCCCGAACGTTTAATTAAGTATCACATAAATAGTTAGAATTATATATAATTATGGTTGCTTGTGATGATAGGGTATTAAATAAATAAATATATAAATCTAATTTGGCATTGGATTATAGGATTAATTGGGAATTATTATTTGGGAGCAAATTAACACATTTATGGAATTGTAATATTAATTGGGTCAACCTAAAGATAGTAATAAATAATAATAAATGAATACAAAAAAATAAGCTAGTTGCCCAGCAAGGATTGTAAGCTTCAGCCCAAAAGAAAGAAAAGAAAAGAAAAAAAAAGGCCCAAGTATGTAACAAGGCCCAAGTATAAGATTTATACTTATCTCAAATCTCATCTTAAATTTGCAATTAAGAACTCCACCCCTAACCTCATTACGCTTGCTAAGAGAGGGGGGGTACGTGGCACTCCAAGTGAGGCTTGGCTCACAGTATAAAATGGGGACAAGGGTGTGATGAACTACGGAAGGAAAAAACGAAAGAACAAAAGGGTGGAAGCCGAGAGAGAGAGGTACGTAAGTGAGAGTGAAGAGTTGATAATAGGGAAGTTCTGATAGTAAAGTAAGGCTAAGGATTATAATTAAGGTGAGTTACATTATACCTTGATTTACTATTATATGTTTTACGAATGTTTTGAGTTACCATAGCTTATTTTATACAAGTTATATTTATTAAGTTATATAAATAAAAGTTATGTTTATAAATATTTCAGTTACGTGGGTTACTTTCTAAACCCTATTTACTTAAAAGGAAACCCACAGATATGTTTGTTTAAATTTTAGTATATATTTGAATATAACCTTATAAACAATTATGTTTTGTAAGTATCACCACGGGAGTCCCAAGCCTTGGGGGACTTAAATAACCACTGGCCTCTGTTTGACCATTTTGCGGTCTTCTGTTTGTCATGGACCTATTGACCTCTGTTCTGTGCGGAGATAAGTGCTACACTATTGTGGGAGCCACCTCTATAGTCCGTACGAGCCACCTCTTGAATCCGTACCTCTGTTCTGTGCGGAGCAAAATGCCGTGCGGAGATAAGTGTTATACTATTATGGGAGCCACCTCTATAGTCCGTACCAACCACCTTTTGAATCCGTACCTCTGTTCTGACTGTCACTTATGTGACCTCTGTTCTGTTCCTTTCGGTATTGTGGTTATGGTTATATATTTATTTTCATAATTTATGTATTTCAGTTCTGTTACTTAAATGATTTGTTTACCAATGATGTATTTACCAAACTGAATTATGTAAATATTTTGGCCTAACTAACTATCCATAGTTATTTCGTGTCCCTTATACTTTTGGTATAATACTTCTCACTCTGCCGTGTGCTTATAACTGTTTACCAATTTTCAGGAAACGGTGCAATTAAGAAATAGCTTTTGAATAGTCTTAGATGCCTGACTGCGGAATAGACATATACTGCACTTTTATTGATATTTTTCTATGTAAATATAGGTCTTTTTGGTCAATATAATTTTATAATAAAAATAGAAGCTCTGATGATTATTTTGGTACCCTCACTTAAATATTACTTCTGCTCGCGTTTATTAATTTGTTTAAGAATTGACCAGTGGTAACCTCAGTTACTGGCCATCACGATACTTAACCCTTGGGTACGGGAGCAGGTCGTGACAATTATAAATACATTATCTGAAGTTTAATAAAAATATGGATTATCCTTATGATTTTGAAAATTATAAATATCTCATTGTTAAAAGTTTTTATTTAACAAAATTAATACAAAAAATTAAATTCTTAACTACTTTCCAATATAACAATAAAATTATCTGAATTATTAATTGATATATATTTATGACATCATTAATATAGTTAGTTGACTTAGGTTTCGTTTGGGAAGCGAGTTAACTTTTTGACTTTTTGGCTATTTTAGCTTGAGGTCAAAAAACTTCCTTTATGTTGGGCTTTTTGGCTTTTTTGACTTTTGTGAGAGAAAAAATAGAATGATTGTGGTTTCAAAGTGACATTTTATTTTATTAACTTTTTAACTTATTTTGTCTCTTTATGACTATTTTAGATAGTTCCATGTCAAACGAGCTCTTAATAATTTATTAATAGAACTGATTAGGACTATATTTTATGACCTTTAACCATTAATATAGTGCGACCTTTAACCACTATTGTAGTAGTGAAAATTTAAAACTTAAAAGGACATGATGTAATTTTTAGAACTATAAGAGGTAATTTATGTTTTAAGCAAACGTGAAGAGGTGTGCATGTAATTTATTTATTTGTTTATTTTGTGTCTCTTCTTTTTCTAAAGACCATGTTGTGCTTAGCCTAGAACAATATTTTGAAAATTGAATCGGTGAGTAAACCGGAAAAGAAACCAGGTGGACAGGTCACTAGTTCAATCATCGGGTCAAAGCGGTTGAATTGTGACATCATAATTGATATTATATAATTATAAATCATAATTAAATAAAAATATATATAATTACTGAAATAAAAAAAAGTGTTGCATAATATTTATTAATAATATTTAATAAAGTCATAATTGATAAAAAAAAAAAGTCATTAGTTTTAAAGAAATTAAAAAAAAATTAACATTCTCTCCAAACTAATTGATTGAACACTAGATTTAATTTTGGAGGGAAATGAAATTTTCAACTCTCCCTCCAATCAAATATAATTCAAACAATTTGATTAAATCCAACATTGAATTTTTAGGTTCTCTTTGAACAATTTTGTCCTATAAATAGGAATAGACTTTCATAATTTCTTTAAACTTCCAATGAGACTTCTCCTTATAAGAGGAGACTTTTGAAGTAAGAATTTTCAGTCAAAATTTTAATATATATATACAAAAGAAATAAAGAAAGAAAAGAAGGGAAAAAAAACATGAAAAAAAAAAAACCACCAGGTTGGTTGAGAACCGGCATCAGTTTTGCCAATTTTACTGGTTGAACGACCAGTTTTTTTTGATATTTGCAAACAAGGTCGGTTTTTGACCTAGTCCGATTTTCGTGGATCTTCTGAATCAGAATTAGGTCCGATTACCGATTCTACCGGTTGAACCGGCCGAAATGATCCAATTCTTAAAACATTGGTCTAGAATGGAAATTTAAAAATCACGAACTTAAAAAAGATACTTTACTATTAACAAAGACTAGTCAGTTTACAAAGAGATCTGTTGACTCCACAATGTACGAGACCCAGTTACAATTTTATCTAGATAGGTAGCATCTTCTCAAGTCTGATTTTAACAATTAAGCTTGTGTTTGAAAAGAAAAA